AGGAGCAAAACCTCCTGTAAAATTCATTTCCTGAAGAAAAATGAATATGAAATTACAAGGGAAAGAACATTAACAACAACTAAGACAGGTGACAGTAAGAAAGAGAAGGTTCAGTTTCATCTAACAGTGGCAGGAGCAGCATAAAATAGCAAGATGAAAAAATATAAAATATTCCATAGGAACAAAATAATGAGACACAGCTGGCAGATGGGGAAAATCAAAACAAATCCTGAATATTTTAGACAGTACAAAAATGAAAGAGATTTTATAAAACCTTCATTCTCTACTCTGGCAGATTCTGAAAGAAATGGAAAGGGGTGGGGGGGGAAAGGAAAAATAAGATACAAGAAATAGGAATTTGGACTTCAGAAAGAACAGCTGTCAGGACTGGATTGTGTTGCATTTATCTTTCCATTTGACTTACTCTTACAATTAGTATCTTTAGCTTCGGCAATCCTGAGATTGCTGAAAATACAAATCTGTTACAGTATATTAGCTCAATGGTTACATTCATATGGAAGTGCCAAACACAGAAAAAATCACCCTGTTTCATTCTATGCAATAGCAAGCACAATTTTTCTGTCATTACTACCACAGTTTTATTTAATGTGATGTATCTCCACTGACACAGAAAGAAATACTTTGGGCCTGGACTGAGAGGAAGACAGGGTTAATGGTGACTGCGCTTCCAGGAAAATGCATCACAGGGAAGCTCCCTGTCTCAGGTGGACACATAAGTGCATTGAAGCGAATTGACTGAATTCTGCAGGAGTGATACAGATACAAATAATGAACCACCATTTCAACACCAAAAGAACAAGTGTCTTTTTTTTTTTTTTTTTTTTTTTTTGCAACTGGTCAAGGCAGCAATCTTGAAAGTTGCTACCGTGCAGGGATAGAAGAAGGGGGAATGGCTTTAAGCTAAAAGCAAGTAGGTTTAAATGAGGTATTAGGAAGAAATTTTTTACCATGTGGTGAGACACTGGCATAGGTTGCCCAAAGAAGCTGTGCATATCCCATCCCTGTTAGTGCTCAAGGCCACACTGGATGGGACGTTGAGCAATCTGGTCTAATGGAAGGTGTCCCTGCCTATGGCAGGAGAGTGGAATGAGATGATCTTTATGGTCCCTTTCAACCCAAACCACCCTGCAGTTTTACCACACTGCTATTCTACATTTCTGGTTGCAATCATTACCCTTTGCCATCCACCACTTTGCACATTACACAGAAATTTCATATAAATACAAAACATAGAAAACATATACAAATTGCTCAGCTTTCCAATTAAAAACTAATTACATGTTATTTATTTTTACCCTAAATTTGCAACACCTGGAGGTGAGCAAGAATATGATATAACTAGTGTTACACAGACTAAGAGATGTTCTGTGCAAAACCATGCTCTCCAGGCTTTCTTAGACAAGAAAATAAAACCATAAACACAATATTAATATTTTTTTAAAGCTGGTTGTGCAATTTCACAAAGTAGCCCACTTAGCTATGTGTAGTAGTTGTAAAATAGTAAGAAAAGGTTTCAACAAGCTGAGATGTGCAACTTGCTTTGCTCTGTAGCTGGGGGTTTGCTTTCCCCAGTTCTGCATGTAAACATTACTGATGCTTCACATCCACATCTGACTTCCAGGAACATTTTAATCCAGCAGGAAAGTCACACTGAAGTGGATGTGCTAAGATATGCCTGTATTTACTAGTACCATAAGGCCCTGTGAGATAGGGAAGGAAGTTGAAGCACGGAAAATAAAGATCCAACTTAAAGAAAGCACTCATACACCCAGCTTAATACAGAGGCTTTCCCCACATTTGCCAGACTCCAGAGGAAGCTTTTCTGTGCTCAGACCTGTCAGGCATGAGGATAGATCCATAAACTTCTGGCTTCTGTGGGAGATGAAGATGCCTTTAGTGGCCAGGAAAGGTGCTCTGCTTTTTTGCAGGGTTTCTAACAGAGCAGAACAGAACTGATCCTTGAGCTTGCAGTGCCATTTATGACCAGTGTATGTCTGTTATGTCAAATTATGGCCAAGAACAAGAAACAAGAAACCACCTGAAACACCCAGAAAAGATTCTCTCTTCTCTCCCTAATGAAACAAGGCCAGATACTAACAGAAAGATACTAAAGAAGTGCATTTGTCTTTTAATGTCCATGGCATAATCACAGAGTAAATTGTCATTTCTACTGTTGCTACTGATTGTCTTAAATTCACTTTTGTAAACCAAAATAAATATTCATTAAATAAAGCATTATGAACTTGGTAAAGCTTCTGAAAAAGTTATGGCTAGCAATCAGTAATAATAAAATTATTGGTTCTGAAATCTGCAATTTTTTGAAACTGAATAACTGGAAAATCCCTGCAACACCAGTACAAATTGCAGTTTTTCCTTTGCCATTTAAAACAAAACAAAAAAAAAACCCACAAAACAAAAACCCAACAGTATCCTTCATTTAAATGTGCACCTCTTAAGGAACTGTACCGTGGAACACACATAATCAATTTATCTGTGTAAGCACACAGTAGAGCTGCTCTACCCTGGACAAAATGATACATTAAATTTGTTCACTGTTTAACAAGGGAGGGTCACAATGTTGCTGTTAATGATTCATAAAGACAAAACACCTCTGCCTAAATTTTTTAAAAATTTTGAAGCTACAGTCATTTTAACCTTCTTTTCATAACTGCAAGCTAAGCTAATCAATAAGCTGGAAACATGTATAGCATGTCTTCTGTCATGAAAGGAAGATATTTCTGTCACAACGGCATTAACAGCCAGAGGTCCTCAGCCGCACTCCACAGATGCAGTTCACGTCTGGATTCATATGGAAACCAAAAAGGACAAAGCTGTGCTCTTGCTGCACTTTCCTGACCCTAACAGATTTCATCAATGTGTGAGTAAAATCTGATTAGGGATCAAACATCCACCAGTGTCCATTATGGATGACAGCAACTGAGGGAATTATGAACCATTCAGTGAAGTCCTCTGCTAACAGCGCAGACACATCCAGGCTGGGAAGGTCTGACTTGGAAGAAAAGGCAACACAAAGTAATTCAAGGCTGAAATGAGCTCAGATAAAACAAGCAGTCACCTCTTGGTGCACATGACAGTGTTGCCATCAGCTTCCACATGAGCAGATTAGCACCCACACACTTTGTTATACAATATCACAAGTGCATCTGCACCCTACGGTTGGATTCATCTTCTTGAGCCATGTCAGGAGCAATATGACTGAAGTTAATACAGTTACCATGCCTTCTATTCATGCATGTGATTTCTGGGTCTGTGTGGCTGTGGACAAGTTTACACAGATGAAACTGGTTACAAAAGGATTCAGGAGTTTTATTCAGAAATGCCCACAGGCCCCAGTGGTCCTCTCTGAGATGCATCAATGACGTGCATTCCCATTGCAAATTAAATTTTTTTAACGAGTCTTTGGATACCTAGCAATCAAGACAAATTTTTACCCAGCACTGCATCTGAATTACTCTTCAAAGCACACATGTAAATTGGCACTACAGATCTCCTCTTCATTAGGATTTTAGAAAGCAGCTATCAACTAAATACAGAGAGGGGGAAGCACCTTACATCTACCACTCTTCCTGGAAGATTAGCCTAAAAGGTCACGATCAAACAGGCTCAAGTTCAGCTGGAATTAAGCATTTTATTTACAAAAAGAGCAGCAAACTATGTCATACTCTGCATGTCAAAGAAACATGGCACACACTGTTTCATTACCACGGTACTAGCAATGGCATCTTTTCTTCACTTGTTGCTCCCTATACTGCTTTCTGTGTTCCCTATTAAACACAAACTAAGGAAATGAAACTGAACAAAACTACTGTAGCCCACTAGCACGTACTTAGAGCTATTTCCTACTTTGTTGAAAATAAATTTATGATATAAACATTAGAACTAAAAATAAAAAAAAGCTGCTGAAGCACTCACAGTCTCAGTCTGCGCAGACAGTGTGAAGTAGAGCAGTAAATTGCAGCGAGCGGACAGCACAGCTCTTAAAACTTCCCCAGCTTTTGCTCTGACAAAAGAGATCGCTTCGGACCTCATCGTGCTGCTGCTCTCGTCGTTTAATTAACGGGCTAACAAATTCCATTGCTGGCATATCTTCTGCTTGTCTGTTCTCTTGAAAAACCCCTAACCCTCCCGCGGTTTTCACTCGGGCTGACCGCTACTTAGCAATAGTGCTGCGAGAACGGCGTCTGTCACCCAAGGCAGGAGGTACTAGGAGTAGCCACCGCCGTCTCCCACCAACCTCGGACAATTTTGGTCACTTTTAATTCGCGGTTGGCAGTGCTCTTCCTTCCTCTGCCGCGGCCGTGTAGGGCTGAGACCCACGTCTGGGACGGCTGAATAAACCTTTCAAAGGCTTTTGGCAGCTGAGCACTAGAGCTGGGGCAGACGGGCGTATGGGTGAGAACCTCTGCGGCCGCGGGGGCTCCCCGGACCCTCCGCCGGAACGGTCTGCCCGGAGCCCCGCCGCAGCCCCGGCTCCCTCCCTGCCAGTGTCCCTTCCAGCCCCGGTGGCCCGGGTCGGGAGCTATAAGCAGCGGCTGCCCTTCGTCCCGCAGCGCCACCCCGAACCACCTCCTGAAGGGAACAAGTCCCGAACCGAACCGGCTCTCGGTCTCGCAGCCGGAGGGGCAGCGCCGGCAGCCGGGCCGGGGCGCCCCTCCCGCAGGGCAAAGGCGAAACAGGCACGTTCTCCTGCTCCTGACCTTTTTGCACCCGAGCTCACCGCCCTGCCGCCTCCTGCTCCCCGCCGTGCCCCTCCGTCCCAGGGCTGTGCTCCGAGCGGGCCGGACGCCGACACCTGCGCGCCGCTCCGAGCCCGGCGCCCGGAGGGAAGCGAGACAGGCGGGACGGAGGGAAGGCACCGCGGCCCGCCGGCCAGCACGGCCGCTGTCGCCGTCCAGAGCCGCTCCCGCCCGTGGAGAGGAGCGGCGGCCGGTCCGGCCCGGGTCCCGGCGGGAGCTTACCCGGTGGGGGGTTTGCTGGCCCCGGGGCGCACGAGGGTCTCCATGGCCGGGCCCCCTCGCCACTTCTCAGAGGACGGGCCGGTGCAAGCCGCGATCCCGGCAGCGGCGAAGGTCGGAGGCGGGGGTACCGAGAGGGAGGGAAGAGAGGAGAGTAGAGGAGTGAGAGCCGCCCTCGCCCCCACCTCCCCCGCTCCCCGCCCCGCTGCCAGGCGGCACTGCCCGGGCCGCCGCCGCCCACGGCTGCCCAGCCCGGCCGCGGGCTGCTGGCGGGGATGCGCTGCCGGGGCGGCGCTGCCGGGGCGGCCTCTGCCCGCCTTACCCGGCCGGCAGGGAAGCCACGCCGCGCCGCGGGCCCTGACACCCGGGCTGCCCGGCCAGACCGCAGCAGGGCACGGCGGGGCGGGAGTCAGGCGGCGGAGCTGCCGGCGCGGCGGGGCTCGGCCGGCCGCTGCCCGGGCAGCGCGGGAGTGCGGGGGCGCTGCGAGCCGGTTTCCATGAGACTGCCCGGCACAAACGCCAACACGGCGGTCGCCCCCGCGGGCACTGCCAGGGCGGCCGCCCACGCCGCGCACGGCACGGCGTGGGAGAGGAACAGGGGTATGGGGTAACAGGCGGGGGAGAGGAGCGACAAACCCCCCGCCAGCGCCAGCTCCTAGGACCCTCCTCCGTCTCTTTTGCCACGAACTTGGCAAAACACAGAGCTTGTCAGGCGAGTGTGCCCGAGACTAAGTCCCGCCGGGAGCGGAGGCTTTTCATCAGCCTCACACCCTGCCCAGCCCTGGCTCTACCACCTAAGGCCTGTTTCTCGTCACTTCTATTCATACAGGGACATGTTTTTCTTCTCTCGGAGGCGGCACACACAACTTTTAAAATTAGCGTCATCTGTGGTCATGCAGAGGGGCTGGAGGGCCGTGGCACGGCAAGGCAGGCTTCTCCCCAGCTTTTCCTCCTGCGGAACGAGCCCAGCATGGGAAAATCAGCCTCACTTCCCGTGCGGTGCAGTGCGCACAACGGCACAGTCTTCGTGGAAACATGGGTATTGCCTTAAAATCTGTGTGTGTTGTTTCGGGAATATCCCCCCTTACATTATTTTCCCAGAATATCGACTGCTACACCTGTGTGCAAAAGCTAAACCAGACTGGAGGCGGGGAAGTCTGGCTGGCACTACTTCTGTGTGTGTGTGTCCTCAGCCCAGCGTGCCCGGCGTTGGACAGCCTGGCTTCTCCAGGTAATTCAGGAGTTTCTCTGCTCCTCACCATTTGTGTCATCTTGCTTTCCTGGCCACGGTGGGAGGATGGCAGAGGCAGGTCAGACCAGCAGCCAACACCGGGACCGGGAGACTGGAGCAAGCAGGCTGAGTGAAGATCCTGAATGAGGATCCGAGCTTCTGCCTTACCTGGCATTTCACCTGGCTGCCTTGGTGATAGTCACACAGGTTCTGCTTAATGGTCACCTCTTTCCTCAAACCCTTCCATCCCTTCAGTCTTGAGCTCATATTTCTGCCTACTGTGTTCATCAGAAAGTGTCTTGCCCAGCTCAGTAACCACATGGAGTAGACGTAAGCAGTTTCTCTGCTTCCAAAAGTGAGACCTGCTTCCTCAGCTAGCAAGACTTGGCAAATACGGGTGCATGTGGCTGATGGCATTGCCATATGCAAGAAAACCCCATCCCAGGAAGATTGCAAATACTTCAAAACATTCAGATAATTTGCAAGTAACAGAGGAGTGAAAGACAAGTTCATCTTTTCTGGAAGACTGGAAGATCACTGTAAATGCCCACCTTTGCCTACCAAGGCTTTTGCATTATGATCAAAATACCGGTTTCTATGTATTTACCCCAGTGTATAACATAACGCTTCTTGTGCTGTAGTCATCCTTAACTTTATCTTCTCTCACTTTGACAACCTCAAGTCTCCCCCTGATTTCTATTTCCTCAGCAGACATCTAAGAATGCTGGCTTCCATGCCCTTCTCTCCAAGCCCACACGAGCAGGTACCTGTGGGAGGCAGCTGCCTGTCCTAGCTGTATGTAAAGAAACAAAACCACAAATTTGCAGAAGCAAAACATTGATCTCTAATTTCCCTGTTGCCATGGGTAGAAGTTGACTGAGTCACCACAGTTCAGTAATTACCCTGGTCATCTGAGACACATGCTGCAGTAATGAGCCACATGCATGATCTTAATTTGCACCTTTATGAAAATAAATAGGCTAGGCTACATAATTTATTTTGCATGTGGATTGGTTAAGCCACTGCATGCTGTCAGTTTCCATAGCTCCAGGAATGAATGGTCATCTATTAAATCACGGGAGCTTGATTTCACAGCTCTGTTCATCATCTGTTCAGTCATTTTTCATCTCCTGTTTTTATTCCTAAATCTTAATGTACTCTTCCCTATTCTAGAACAGTTGCTAAAGCTGCACAGGCACAAAAACCTCTGCAGAAACACCCAGATGTTTCCCCATTTTCTTCATTAGCAAACTACACCAAAAGGACTTCCTTTGACTCAGCTGTAACTTCTAACCTTATAACTGAGCAGAGGTGTAAAGTACAAAACACTCAGACTAGTACTTGCTTTTTATGTTCCCTTCTTTTTGTACAACATATCAAAAGAGTGGAAGCCTATTAATTACCAAACTCATGATCTTGTGTCTCCAGAGCACCAGTGGGGCCAAGTGTCCATGTCCCCCATTCTTTAGTCACATATATCTGATGGAAAAGCGAGTGAAATGTGAGGAGTACACTGTGTGATGCAACATGGGAATCTGTTTTTCTCTAGGCTGCTTGGCACTGAGTGTCCCTCTTAAAAAGGGCAAAGTGGCTATTTCTAGTGTGCATTGTAATCCCCACAATCGGGGTGCTGTGCTGCTTTGTTTAGGCAAAGGGCATTAGTTTGGAGAGGGGCTGTATGAATATTTGCCAATGTCATAAAATTGTGACATTGGCATGTTCAGAGCTCCCAGTTTGTTTAACCCTTTCCTGTTTGTAGAGCTTCATCTCTGTTTCAGTGGGCCTCCTCCATATATTTCCTTAGCAAATCAATTACCTTGGATGATAAAATCCTTGTAATAAAATAGTTTAGGCCTTTACAAATGAAAAATAAAAATCAATTATTCACCAGTGCAATTTCACATTTATGCCTTTTTAGAGTTTTCAAAATCTTATTAATATTTTTCTCTGCCTTTGCTGCTAGTAGTATTACTGAATCAGCCCTTTAAGGCTACATTTTTCTTCTACTAAAACTAGCCTGCAATATTTCAGGAATTTGAGTTTGTAGTATAAACGTAACTGAACATGTAAGGAATCTAGTAAGACAAGTCTAATACCAAAGAATTTGTTTATATAGCAAAAAGAGCTTAAAATTAGATCAGCATTAGCTAGTATGCACCAGTTAACCAATCTTTTCTCTAGCCCAAAACATAATATTTTTTTATGATTCAGCTGTTTGAGGACCATCACAGAATTGGAAACCAGGTTTGAGCCTAAAACCAAAGCAAAAATAACAACCCTAAATTTATAGCAGGAAGAAATTGTGAATAGAAGTTAGTTATTGTGGTTAGGTTCAGTTAATAGCAAACTTTTTAAACCACATAAGTCCTTTTCCCATTTGAAACAATCTAGAAGTTGCAATTTAAGCATTAGTCCCTGTAAGAGAGTTGACTTACTGTACAATTGTAAAATTCCTGGCTATGTAATTATAGCAATTGGAGTTGTGTAGCCTCAAGCTCACAAACCTCCTTTATTTTGTATCCATAGTGAAAAGGAAAAAAATAAACAAGAATTTAGATTTTCAGGGCTTGCTAGGCCTTTTCCTTAAGTCCAAGAGCATCCATTCTTCAAAAACCCATGGAGATGAGAGGATGCATGATGCAGTCCTGGCTCAGCACCAACAATCACAGGGCAGAATGAGCACCATCATGCCATGTAAAAATAATCTGGAAAGGAAGGGTCCTTTTGTCTAAGAGAGTATTTCAGAACACATTTGCAGGGTGGGAACGTGATGTACATTAAAAGAGATGGGGAAATGGTTTAAACCTATGATACGAATCGAGCAAGTGAAATTTCTGTGAACAATTAAAGGACATTAAACAGCCACCAGGACACAGGAGACAACCACATAACCTGGACTGAAGCTGATCGCTATAATACACTGATGCAGTCTTGAGTGTAAGAACCATAGAACTTTGGGGATTTTGTTTTTAAGATCTGGTATTGATTTCATGCTCATTCTTCCATGTATTCTTTTTCCCCCCCAACATTTGTTTTCCCTACCATTTTGTTCTATATGCTTTGGGCAAGTAGCCTTCAATTTCCTCTCTTCTCTACTATTCCTTTTATATGAACTTTTTTTCAAGATTTGAAACCCAAGGCCTAGTCTACAAATGAGAATACATTAATGAAAGTATATTTATTGGGACGGATGCAGTGGGCCAAATGTTCTTGGGCCCAGCTGGGGTGAGAACCTTCCTAGGCAACATGATAATACAAGATGCTTCCAAAAATTAATAGTTGCATGACCCATACTCATGTGTACAATGAGAACATACTTCTTCAAACATTGTCAGAGAAGGCAATGATACTATCCAGAGAAAATAAAAAAAAAAAAATTTCAACACCATGTTATATTGTATAATTGAAAAAAGCCTTTGGGAAATCTTGGCTACCTAATAAAACAAATTTGAATCAAAACACCAGCTAATTTATGTAAAATTATCTTCATTGTACTGAGCTGAGTAATCCTGCTTAGCCTGCTGGTCAGAGTGACCCACCTACAGCCATTCCTCTCTGGGAGGTTTTTTGCTCTTTGTTTGCCATGCCAAAGAGAGTCTGAAGTTGTGAAAGTAGCATTTCAGAGATGCGACTCACTGTCTCACAGATGCTCGTGCCACTAAAATTCACTTCATCTTCTCCTCTTCCTGTAATGCAAGTAATTTGCACTCTTAGAATTACCCTCTTTCAGAATTTTTGTGAAATAGAAGTAAAGGCCTTGGGCTACCCAGCCCAGCAGAACTATCAGAAAGGCCTCCTGCATAAATAACTGATCTGAAACAGTTCATTTAGAAGTGATGTGAAATTGTAGCACTTCATTTGACTGATGCTTTTCCAGTTAGTGGGGTACAGAGAGGCCAAACTTTTGTGGAGTTGGGCAGGATTAAGAAGACTGTAGACTCTGTGCATGGTCTAGTGACACAATAAAACAGAAAACTCCTCTGTGTAAGCTGTGGATATGGCACACTCCCAGTGTTTCCTGTGCAGCACACTGCATGCACAACATCATGTGTTCTCCACTGCAAGCAGCCTGCACCCCTCCCAAGCATCACACCCAGCTCTCCAGCCAGCAGCATGGTTAGAGCTGGGAGTGATGGCAGTGAGGAGCACCTGCTGCATTTGAAACTCCAGCTGTCAGCTACTAACTCCTAGTGTCATT